AAGCTGCTTGGAGAGCTCTTTTATCACTTTTATTTGTTTTGCTTTCTGTGGTGAGTGTGGTACACACCATGTCACCAGACAGCACAGTTACGGCCTGAAGCCATATATACAGGCCCACTGACTGATTAAAATATCGTAGACACTAGTGATGCTAATTAGTGGGAATGCCTTGATTTATTAGGTCTCTCAGCTCATGTGACACTCACTTTTGTCCAGGCCTATTTCATCTGTTTTTTTTGTTTTTTGTTTTTTTTTGTGGGGGAGATTATTATTCTGTTGAAGCTTGGTTGAAATGCAATGCCTGACTTTTATTTTATGTTTTTTATCTAGTATTAATTTTGTCACGTTCGGTTTATTTCCGTGACCATTGTTTTTTATTTTGGTTTAGTTTTTTTGTTTTAAAATAAAACCCCAGCTTTTTCAAAGTGTGTAATTCCCCAACATTTTATCTAAAAGTTCAATTTGTAACTGGGTCCAACCAATTGTCAGCATGTTCACCCATCCATCCAGCTATCTATCCATGCTTTAGTTCATCAATGCAGTCTGGATATTTGGAGTCTGACTACTATAAATTAATCAGAAACGTTTGTTTGCACAACACGTTTTTTTATACAAACCCTAAGCAGTCCTAATCTTCACAATGCACTGGCAGCACTAAATTCAGTAGCTGCATTGCAACTCAAATTAACCCTTCCTTTTTTGTGTTACTGAGGACATATTGATTCAACTGAAGCACGCACAGGAGCATATGGTAGAATGTTTACACCAGCAGCCAGCTGAAGTCTTTTCCCTGCCAGCTTGGTATGCTCCTATAGGTCTGGAGAGCTGTCATCAGCAGCCGGAGAGGCAAGCTGTTTGGTGCTGCTCACACACTTCTCTAAGAGAGGAATGCAGGTCCAGTGATTGTTGCTAAACACCAGACTGTAACAATTGAGAGCAGGCACTGAAATCATCTGGATTTGAGGTTTTGCTGAAGTTTATCATCTCAGCTGAGCTTTAATGGAAATCCAAGAGCTCATCTGCCTTGTGGAATGCTTTTCTGGCAAAAATGCAGACTGCGCAAATCAAGAGATGGGCATCCCCCCAGGCTGCAGCTTTGACGGGCCAACAAACTAGAGCTTGCAGAGCTCAGGATGGCGCTCTGCCCTGCACCACTGTGCCTGTATCATTACTTAGGTTTTTTGGGTTAATGTCAACAATGCAGAACGAAGAAAGAAATTCCTGAATCTGAAACACGGCTTTTTATTTAGGGACACAATATTCAATGCCTCACGAAAAATGTATCTTCATATTTTGTCATGTTGAAAAAACAAGCAAACATTGATTATTTTATTTGATAAACTGCCCTAAAGTAGCAGATTATACTAAAGTGGATTTACAGTAATACACAATATTTATGCATCTTTACAAAGAAAAATGTAAAGTTATATTTGATCAGTTTATGCTTGTTTTTTTTTTTGTTTTTTTAGCCTGGTTCACTCTGATGCTCCTCAAAATATTAGCCAAATCACAAAGACTGATAGACAGTTTAGACCCTTGATCCACAAAGTTGGGATCCTTTATCAACCAGTATGGAGTCTTTAGATCCATTGCAGTATTAAAAACTAAACGATAAACATTTATGTTAAACTACTTAAAGGTATTGTGTAGGATTTTTTTAAAGATTGTATCACGGTTTTCTGTTAATCACATTTTTTCGATCCTAGCATCTTGATGCATATGTTGCAGCTAATATACGCAACGGTTGAAATAAGACTCATTATTTACTTTACCATTGAGTTTACATCCCAGTGTTCACTTCGATGGACGTCTGTTTCTTCAGCAGGCGTTAGAGCTAATAGAACTGGCAGCGTTGCGAGGTAAAGGCTCAAACATGTACGGCTGTAAGCCTTCTACACCACACCAAGCTTCTGCCGCCCTGGCGTCCTCTTCCACAACATCTTTGTCCCCGTTTTCCTCCTCTAAATAAAAAATTTATGATGGAGGAGACTCATCCACGACCTCCGACACAAAACTCTCTTCCTCTTGCATATTTCCACTCTCCATAGTGTTCCTTGACAGTGTCGTTTCTAAGTTACCAATTAAGTGCTACTTGGTCCCAATGTAATTTCCCATTGGGAACCTACTAGCACTAAGTTGCTAACTGGTTAGCAAGAGGCTTCCCAGACACCGGCTACAACCAAACTTGCTTGCGAATCTTCCACCACAACAATCTTGCCCCCTTGATAAACAACCAATCACATTAACTTTCATCACTCTCGTAAATTCGGGCACCACTTGGGCGAATTCGGAAATGCAACGGTTGGCAATGCCGCTTCCCTACTTTAAAAGACCCGCCCTCGTCACTTATGCATTGCACACATGCCCTTGCATCGCTCCTACATGCTCTTGCACTGCTCATGCATGCTCTTGCACTCAAAATTAGTGTGGAAGAGCATGCACAATCCCATTTCTCCTTGTGCATGCCCTGTTTAAAATGTGCTATTCTTATAGCTCATACAAGCTTACTGTGTCCACATACAGCAGGGACTATATAGGGAACTTTATGGCAAACTCAGTTAACTGACCGTTCGGACAGATGGTGACTGCTATTTGCTCCATTGGTCACGTAACTCTGCTCTGCATGTTGCCTGCCCTATCTTTACCCATGTTAGGTAGCGACAGCCTATGGTGACAGGGGGCTGCTATTTTAGCAAATCCCATAGTGCTTTGCGAGGACAGCTCTCCGCGCAAAGTATTCTTGGATACATCTGCCTCTTCTGAGGCCTTTTGTTTCTTCTCATAAACTTTGTAGACACTTTTTCTCTTACAACCCTTGGCCAATTTCAAATAACTGCGGTGAGAAAGGTGAGCTTCCATGACTATCTGAACCGTAGCTCACCACACATACACACCTGAAAGTGTGCATGCACAGAAAAAGGTAGCTAACGAGGCGAGCACATTGGATGGCCCAATGTAAACATATTACCAGAATGAATGACAATTAGGGGGACCACTTATTTAGATGATCCACCCGGAAATAAAAGATTGTCCTTTATACCTTTTAAGATATGTGCATCACTGAAATACTGATAAAACAAATTACTCTGGTGTGTGCTGCATTTTTTTTAATATTGCTTCAGCAATGGTTAATTGATTTGTAGAAGCATTAATGTACTCAACAAATAGGTTGGATCGTAAGTCCTCCATTGTGGGACTGAAAAGTTTAGGAAGCTGTGTTTTAGACTGGTCTATGGTGAAGCTGTTTTGAAGTTGTTTTTTTATGACGGGATTATGTTATAAAATGACATTCCAAGCTTTGGAAATAAGCACTGTTTAATCTATCTGAAAATTGTAGAAAAATACTAAATTTTGGTATATTTATTAACCTTCTGAGGTCTTACTGGCCTTGTAGGGACCAATGGCTGGTCCTAATATGTTGAATCCCAAATTTTCAACGTTAGGAAGTCAGTTCAGAGGTATGGTATGAGCTTCTTTTTTTGTTAGGATTAGATATACTGGCAATGTTTAGGGTAAGGGTAGGGCATAAATGCATAAACAATACACAAACTTGTGTATTGGAGAAGGGTTATTGCTGTTAAAGGTACTAATGATCTGTTGTATTTCTCCAAATCTCCAAATAATAATACAACCAGAAACAAAACGTAAAGCATTTTCAATGATTCATGGTTTGCTTGGCATTTTCCCCATTAGTTTTTCCAATTTCTCAGCTGCATTGCTCTCTTCCCCTCCAAACAGACACTATTACCATTAATAAATGTACTTTTGAAAACAAAGTTTTTGGTTCATGGAACATAAAGGTTTTTCCGCTTACTTGACCGTGACTGTTTTCCATCTCTGTCTCATCCCTCGGTGTTTCACTGCCATTTAAGGGAAGTCTGAAAAGAGCGACAAAGGCACTTTCCAAACAGCTGTGAATGTGCCAAGAAAAGAGTGAGCAGAGCACATTCATGTACCTGCAAAAACGCAAAGTGGAGTTTTTATTGATCGGTACAAAAATGAGATGCACAGGACCGAAACAGCGTTAAATTTTCTTTTCTGAATGATCAGACACCATTACCTATTTTTGTTCATGGTTATATGTATTATCATTTATTTAAATAAAAAAGTAGACATTAGGAAATTAGTTCACTCTGGTCGTTTGTCATCTTTCACTAATTCTGCCTTTCAGGACCGCAATGCGTCTTTGGCTGCATGTTAGCTAAGGTTAGGACAAACAGACTAGTGTGGAGGACTTTCTGCATGTGGACAGGCAATACCTGAGCCGGGGGAGGTTTAATTGATGTGGGGGGGGGACAAAGGGCCCTTTTCAGACAACTGTGTAGGTGCAATGAAGGTTAGATTCATAGAGAGGGATGGAGACGGGCCATTGATTCTGTCCCGATTTAATGTCCTTGAAGAATGTGTGGAAGCATTCCTGTCACTAATTATCCTCTTTTTTACATCTGTTTTGTATTTAGTCTGATTAGGTATTATTTATTTGCATCTATATTAAGGCAAAGTTTAAAAAAAATACTTTTTGCATTTCTGTACAGAACAGGTTAAAAATTCCTAAGTGTGTGTAGAACCGCTAACAAAGCAGAAAAATTCACAGGGAAGCCTTGATTTTTTTTTGGACTCTACCCACGTTTTCAGGTCTTGTTACTTACCATCCCTTCTGAGGTCACGTTTTCTGTCGTCTCTCCTTCTATTCAGTTCTTGGTACAAAAGCAGGAACTGGCCTTGGGAAGATCTGCTGGCAGAGTCTTCCTGCACCCCCAACAGTCATGTACCTATTCTTAGAATGAACAAAACAGCACTGTTAAGGCCAGGTGGCCAGGCTTGCCTGGAGTCAGTTTCTCTACTTGCAATGTTTTACATGTACATATTTTTTTCTTGGTTTGTTGTTGTATGGATTTATTGCTAAATCGCTCACTGGTGGCTCAATCAACTTGTGTAACCCTGGCTGTATGAGCACATCCTGACTAACCACTTCCTGTTTTCCCTTTTGTTTCCTACAGTAACTTAGCCAGAGGAATTCCTGCATACTGACTTCTTTCCTGCGTTGAATGATGTTGGGGCCCAGACACCATAACAGTCCTGCTCACTTCTGACCCAAAAATGGAGCTGAAGGTTTGGGTGGATGGCGTCCAGAGGGTTGTATGTGGGGTCACAGAGGCAACCACCTGCCAGGAAGTGGTGATTGCTTTGGCCCAGGCTATTGGTAAATATCTCTGTGTTTTACAACTACAAACATGTGTCCCCTAGCCTTCAATCACAGCATGTGTTTTTTATATATATATATTTATTTTCATAAACACAATTTTCTGAGGTCTTAAAGGAATCTACGGTTCTACGGTTTTACGGAGTTCTACGGTTTAAAAAAATTGTAAAGTAGTAGTAAAGAAAAACATATTTTAAGTCTTAACCTGAGAATCTTTTTAAGATGTTCTGATCCAGAGTTTTATGTCCCATAATAAGCTCATCCCCTTTTGAGCTTTTTATTCAGCAAAATCATTTCATATTTCCTGAATATTACACAGTTTATATTTTGTAGTTGAGAATTTATTATAGGCTGGTCTGATATTAGACAAAAACTAATATCCGATTCTATCGGCCCGCATTTAAACTCTCTGATATTTTCACTCTGCTTCTGTTCAGGGTTTCTGAAACTCTTCAATTTTACATGAATCAGTTGTTTTCTTACCTTTTGATGTTGACCTTTTGTTCCCAGTTTTAGTAATATCATATCATTTGATCAAGCCTTTTCTAACGTTATAAGTTATCTGATAAGGCTGGTATGATTCATGATAATATCATATCGGGTTAATATCGATATGTGCCAATTCTCAAAGCTGCAATATCAGTGTCGTATCGGAAATTAAAAGCTTGTATCTGGACACCCCTGATTTCTTTAGTAGTTGTTGAGTTTTTATGTTTTTGCATCATGCTCAAAGAATAAAAAAATTGATTCCATTGTTATAAATCACAACAAAATAAACACAATTATTATATGAATTGTTAATCAAAGAAGTTTTAATTGAAGTACTCCTGAATCAGTCCAGTTTTAGTCATCTGAAGTGTAAAACAATACGTTTTTGTTAATTAAGCAAATTTGTGCGAAAACTATGATATACAATGCAAGCTATGCTAAAATAGGGGCAACAGAGGCAGTCAGGAGGTAGAGGTTTGTCCTGTAAGCCACTAGACCCAACTCTGTATCAGTCGTTTGGTCCTTGAGCAAGGCACTTCATCTGCGTTGTCTACAGTTGGGGGTCGTTCCGTGCGCCCAAGGGCAGCTGTGGGTTCAATATAGCTTACCACCATCATTCTTGATTGAGTAAATGCAGTTTATGGCACCATTTTATAAAGGCCAAAAACTCCCATTACCCTCACTTAAAAAAATGTATTGTTGGGGAAGTTAAACTGTTTCTAATCACCATCCAACCTGTACTGTAGAGTGCTGGACTCGGTTTTGGTTCACTCAAAGTTAATGATAACGTTATCCTTAGATCATATTGTAGCGTTTAGATCATGACCTTCCTCCGCTTCCAAAGGCGTCTTAATGATGTTTCTGACCCATAAATGTAATCCAGCATTATCTTCCCTGAGATAAAGCTCTGCTCTCACTGGCTGAAGAACACTGATTAGATTGAATTTCTCGTGTTTACCAACACTGTGACGTATTTGTTTTTTAAAGGATTTCATGTCTTTAATATGATGACATGATCAGATAAAGTTATGTAAATTAAGCTTTTTTTGAAAATGGCAAGCTTTTTTTTTTCTAAGACAGAAATAAAGGTTCTAATGAGGTAAACAACTGTCATCCTTCCCGCCTTCACTTGAAGCTCCCGCTGGGAAATGGTGGGCCATAATCAGCGGCTATATTGGTTCTTTCTTGGCTTTACGCGCCCCGCTTTCCTTTATGGCTGCTGCAGAAATGGGGGCACTTGAGCATAATGTATTGACATCACTTCCCACTAAGCGCAGGGGAGGAGGAAGGAAAGTCTGACTCATCCCCTTCGTATCCTGCCAAACTGTGAAAGCAGCACTTCTCTCTAAACTCCATCCTCCCTATTCCAGTATTTTCCAAACGATCAAACATAGATATCGATTTTGTGCTTTAACATTTATAGGGTGATCTTCCTGTATGCAAGAAATCTATGCTTTAATCAATGAGCCAAATAGGAAAAATCGGTCGCTCAGAGTGCTGAAACTGTAGATCCAAAGATTTGTTTCATTTCCTTTTGTATGCAGTCAATGCCTTTAAAAAAACATTCACACATTAAAAGCAATTTTCAGATCTTTTAAAAATGTATCAACATAAAGTCGAGCATAACAGTTAAGAAGAAAGTATTGGATGCATAGTTTCCTAAATTAATTTCAAATAAAATGTAAGCTTTGGTTTGTATTTGTTTTAGAGTAGATAGAGAATTAATTTAGCTTTGGACTTTGAATAGGCCATTTTATTGAAGTTGTACTAAATTCATCCTTCAAATCAAACTTGGACCGTGATGGGTTAATTCCAGCATTGTCCAGTAATTAGCTCGATTTATCTTCCAGTGAACTTTGACCTGCCCTCCTTTGCCTGGTGGAGAAAGTATACCAATATCACAAAATCACCATGTTTCAGTGTGTGAACTGTGTGTTTGGAGTGATGAACAGTCTGGATGCTTCTCTGATTATCACTCTCTTTACCTTCTCAATTATAATTTCTATGTCTCAAAAGGGTTGTAGCTTTCAGTATTCTTTCAATGTTTAAATGAATAGAGTGAAGCTCTGAGGTATTTATGGTTCATGATTTCGTTTTATAACCTTGCGCTGCATTATACAACCCTGACACTCCCTGACCTGTCGGCTGTTTACTCTTTAATGTTCTCTAACAAACCTGTGGACCTCACAGAAGTGCTGTATTTGTGGTAGGATTTAAACTCAAAATCTTGTCCCTTGATGAATTTTCTTAACATTTTAATGAATTAAAATAGTGCACATTAGTCTTTACACAATAATTATACCCCTTCTTTCAGTTATATAGTATTTTGTTGGTCTCTGAAAATCCCCCAAAATTTTTTTATTTGGCGTTTTATTTTTGATGTCTTTTTTTATTATGTTTTCATCCCTTGTCGAAATTAAACAAAAAAAAAAAAAAAGTTGGAATTCAACAATAACTGTTTCTTTTTTGCAAGAAAAGTCCTTTTGGAAAACAATTTTTTCTTCCTATTTCAACCTGAGAAAAAAAATCTGTTTAATTAACTTTGGTTTGTTTATTTTTCTTAATTATTATTTCTCCTTTTTGAATGAAGTTTCTTTTATCGTTCCTTTTCAGCTTTATATGCAGCGCACTGTGATGTAATCTCTATTTATGTTACTTTACTGTCTTTGTCGTTTGCAGGGCGCACAGGGAGATATACTTTAGTAGAGAAATGGCGGGACACAGAGCGTCACTTAGCACCTCATGAGAGCCCTGTGGCATCTTTAAACACCTGGGGTCAGTATGCTGGTGACGTCCAGCTAATCCTTCATCGCACCGGCCCCTCACTCACGGAACGGCCCCCTTCTGAGGGCCCCCCGCTTAGGGGTCCTGAACGTGGGCTTTATCGTCAGAGTCTACCTCCTCTTGCAAAGCTCCGTCACCCCAATGATGGTTCTCTTCGACGGCGTGAACCGCGCCGCAAGTCCCTAACCTTCAGCGGTGCACCAAGGAGCCTGAGGGAGATCCTGAGCGGGGGCCGGATGCCTGAGGCCGAGGGGAAGCGGAGACTTCTCATGGGTAACGGTGGGAATCCCCACCATGCGCGGCCAGCCTTTGGAACAGCTCCTCCAGGCCTGTGGACCTGTCGCATGGAAGATCTGATCAGACTGGTCAGTCTGCAAAGAGAGACTCTGAATGTGCTGGAGAAAAAGCTGGAAGCCTATGAGGCAGAGCTCCAAGCCTGGTCGGAGGGCCGAGGACGAAGAGGAGCTGGATGCAGTGCGGATCTTGGCAGAGGGGGAGGGTTATTAGAGGAGATCCTCAGGCTGGAGAAACACCTTAGGAAGAATGAGGTGGAGATGGAGGAGGAGGAGTTTTGGGCCACTGAGCTGCAGATTGAGATCGAGAGCGAGAGACAGCTTGAGGAAAGACTGCAGGAGCTGCGAGGACGGCTGCAGGGCTGCGAGATGGAAATAGAAGAAAAGCTTGCCATGTTAAAGGTGTGTTATCTATGGCGGATTTTCACTGCACATTATCTAAAAATAGAGCTCATTTATCATAGTGGTATACGTTACAACACTGCTCTGTTTAGTAAAAGGTTTTCTTTTATTTTCTCAGCATTGCCTTTTCTTTTATTTATCAGGGGGTAGAAGCAGGACTTGAGGAGGAGAAGCTGCAGAGAGAGCACCAGGAGACCCAGTGGGTCAGTGAGGCAGAGGCCCGGGCTCAGGCCCTCCGGGTCAAGGCTGAGCTAAAGGCCCAAGAGAGACAGGCCATCCAGCTGGAGAGCAGCTGCAGGGCTGTGGACAGATCGCTGGGACAGAGCAGTAAGAAACTGCAGGTGGGCTTTTAACATTCAATAACCAGTTTGGACCTTTATTTTTTTTCCATGTAAATCAATCTATCCATCCCTCTTTTATTATTCTCTTATTTCCATCTACCTTTCCTTCGTTCCATCATAAATTGAATTTGGCTGCAATTTATTGGCTGTTATAGAATAAAATGACAAGCATTTCAGTTCAGTATCTCTGTAGGATTCAGATCTGTTATGTAAAGTGAACTGATGCTGTATGGATAACATAAACTGAAACAGTTGAGCTTATGACTTAACCTGATAGTCCTTAAAATACCCTGTTTAAACTATTGCCGCTCCCTGTAAATTGGGAGCACAACATTGGAGTATAAAGCTATAGGAAGAGTAATTTTTTCCCTGTTGCTGCTCCTTTGAAGGACATGCAGCAGGAGCTGGAGCAGCTGACCAAGGAGCTGAGGCAGGTGAACTTGCAGCAGTTTATACAGCAAACCGGAACCAAGGTCACAGTGCTGCCAGCTGAACCGACGGAGGACGATTGTGCAAGCAGCAGTTCTGGTACGGGTAATGAAAGTTCAGTTTTACTTAAAACTTTTTGTAAGAAAACTTTGTTCAAGTCCAGACCCTACATGAGATGAAGGGGTGTATAGTTCCTGACAGGTCAGTGAAGCATGATTGTAACCTGAGATGGATTCCGTCTAACAATCTGCAGACTGTGAGAATAATGGTGCTTTTTGACCGAACAGGACATCATGTGTGTTGAATGTGCAAATGAAAGCATGGTTCAGTTTTTGTTAGGGAAATCAATTTATTCTGTCAAGGTGCACTTTATTCTGAGGCTTCTGGTCTCTGACAGCCTGCTGAGAGAAAATGACTCAATACTGTGTGTCTTGCCGCTTTTTGCGTCTGTATGTGAAGGGAGGAAAAAATAAGGAAAGATGCAGTATGGATCTTTGTTCCTGTGTAAGTGGCAGTTCTGTGCTCCCTGCAAGCAACAGAGAACAGATGCTGCTCATGAGAGTGAAGTGAAGGCTGTACAAAAGCCCGTTCATAAAAAGCGATAGATTTTTTTTTTTATTCATCTTTTTTTAAGTATCTAAGCTGATTTATAAAGAATTTCACTATAGAATTGTTCAAACCTGCTATCAACATCCTGCAAGCAGAACCGGCCCTGGTAGAAATGTTCTTTTTAGGTTTCTAAGGCCCCCCCCCACTGGCCTTTTGAAGCTCAAAGCCGATCAATCACAGGACTTGTAGAGCAGTCGGATGCATGGGGCATAACAACTTTTAGAGCTTATTATTAAAGTTTTGGCGGCTAAGTCAGTGAGGCTTTTAACAAAAGTCTTGAACTGTCTAATTCTTATCATGTTTGGTTTGCTTTTAGAGATTTGCAAAATCTTAGCTTGAATTAAATATTAAAATTAAGAATATCACAACTTAAATTATTAGGGTCCTAATAATCATCAGGGTAGGTTAAATATATGCATCAACTATAAAGACCTCTACTCCGATATTTGATCATAATAGACTAAATTAATTCAACTTTCATCCTTAGAAACTCAGTAGATTTAGAGGGCAGTAAAAGTTTAGTACATATAACCTTTTTTTTATAATGGTGCCTGTTAATTAGATAAGATTTAGTAGAAAAGTTCTCCACCATCAGAAACTTAGCTTTAAGCATTACAAAAGTTTTACAAGTGTTCTCGCATGAGAGCTGTCTTAGCTCCAAGTTCTGCTGGTGGGACACGTCATGTGACATGGACAGAGAGGGATTTAAAACCACTGACATTGTAGAAGTCATGTTTAAGGGTAGAAAAGCTTAGATTTAAAATGATATGCTCAAAATGTTTGCAGTCTCACAAGACGGGCACAATAAAATTCCCTGCAGTTGTTTTGAAACTGACCTGAAGACATTATCATGTGAAAGGGGGCATCTAGGGGGGGTAGCATTTGCATCTGTTTTTTTTTTTTTGTGCTGCTTGTATGAAGCTGTTCATTCTGGATTATTAATGACATGCCCTCTGTCATGGCCTCTATTATACTAATAAGTGTACGATTATGCTCTAGTACTCATCCATACATGCATTCGAAGGACAAGTCATATTTGTAGCATAAAATTCATAGATGTCCTTTTGCAAAGCTCAGTCTCGCCCCCCTGTGGCTTCAATGAAGAAATGCATAACATTGCATCCTTGTTGCTTTTTTCTGTTCGTCTGTTTGTCATATATCTTTATTTTTTTGAATGAATGAAATTGAAAGGCAACCCCAGAGTTTCTGTTTTTTATGTATTTTTTGTTATTGAGGTTGAGGTTAAAATGTATATAGAAAAAAAAAACAATGAAAGTAAAAACTAGAATGGTAATTATTTAGTTAGGCATCTTAAAAACTTCTGTGGTCCGTCTATTTTTTTTTAAAGACTGTAACTTGTGGTTTTTAAAGTTTTCAAAGCTTCCTTCTTGTAATCCTTATGTTACTCTCTATGTTAGACTCTAGTAAGAGCATGCTCGTCAACCAACCAGTTTCTTTTAGATGTTCGTAGATCCAAACTAAAAAGCAGAACTGGTCAGGCTTTTAGAGCAAATCACTTTTAAATAGTCAGATTAACGATCAATCAAGACTCTTAAATCTGTGCTCAGGATCCATCTTTATTTCTTAGTGTTTGATTCAAGCAGAGGTTAAGATTCTTTATAGCCGTTACATTTTATATTTTTTTATTTTGATATAATTTTTCTGTGTTCCGCTGCTCTTTATCATTTAATCTGTAATTTTGAATGAATGCTAATGTCTCTTTATGAGCTATATAATAAGTTGACTTGTCTCTGTATCTTAGTGCTGTAGGTTCTATCTCGATGCTCAACAAGAAAAATCCTTTTAAAGCTAAGATAAGTTGTTTGTTTGTTTTTTTGACATTTGTTTCCTTTTCAGATTTGGCAGCACTGACTGGTTCCCTAAAGCGTCCTGTGTCAACCCAGCCTGTGTCCAGCCACCTTCGCGTCCTCGCCAACCCCCTCAGCTCTGGCCTGAACCCAGAGGGGATCTACGTTTGACCTCCAGAACTGACCCTAGCAGTACATCTTCGCAGCTTGAACTATGCATTAATCCTTTTTTAACCTAAAGGCAACCGTAATGTGTGAGGTGTTTAGTTACGGTGAAGATACAATCCCATAATGGAAATGATTGAGCACTTGCTTGAAGAAAACCAGCAGACAGCTCTGGTCAACAAAAACCACTGCAGCCTATTGACTGGCACCCCCTCCCTTTCTGTCCGTCTCTTAAACATCTGGCTGTTTTGGGCATCCCCCATAAACATATCCACATATTGTACTTTTCCCTTTACTACCTGCTGAATGATTTGTATTCATCTTTTTGCCTTTTAGAAAGCGATCGTGAGAATCTTTCCCTTTCCAGCAAAACGTCTGACTCTCATTGAAGTGAAGGATCCACTTGTCTCTGTAGTCAAACTGTGAACAATCTCTCCATGTGCTCTGTTGGTTCAAGTTAAAACTATGCACAAACTGGTCATATTTTTGTTACTGAATGTTTCTATGTGTACTTACCAAAATGAAGGCTTACTGTAGATGTTTGTACTCTTTAGCTTTATTCAGTGAATGCATTTTATTTCTAAAGGTGTGCATTCCTGCAGTAATAACTGCATATAAAAGCAGTGTTAAATCTCCTTTTTAGATGTATTTCTGTTGTTTAATAACAACAGTGTGTATATATATATTTTTTTCTCCGAATGTATTTTATGCTTGTTTATCTTATGAACTGTGTGTGGCCAAAGTTTGAGCTTGTTGCATGACTGTGTTGGCCATCTTTGAATGTGCAGAGAGAATGCTTACACCTGATTGGTCGACGATGGCATCGGTAGTCATTCGGTGGACAGTTAGAGCTGCAATGTGAAGTAAGAGTGCAAGTCAGTAATTAAAGTGGTTCGTCTGCATGCGTGCACGCGTGGTCACAAGTTTCAAAGCACTTCTTGGAGAGTAGAAAACGAATGTGTGTGTTTGCATATATGACGGTGATTCAAGACATTCGCCTGTGTGTGTGGAGGAAAGCCAAGTTATGAAGCTTCACTTAGGTTGTAGATAAGCTGCTAAACGCATCCAAGTGCCTTATCCTCATTCCTTTAATGGTGTTTCCAGATACAGCACAGAGTGGTCTTACGGAAGGTGCTGAAGGAAAAGTCATTAGTAGCTGAGATTAAAAACAACTTTAGAAATTAGTGCTGGTATGCAATGTGAGAACCAGAAACTACACGGTTTTTTTCAGTCTTTTGTAGAGCTGTCAAAGTAAACAGGAAACATGTGTACTTTGCTACTGTACAGTTACCATAATACTACCAACAATGAAGTTAAACATTTTTTTTCCTATGTTTAGTGTTTTTAATATGCAACACGTGTACTGTAATTTGAATGAGAACTCTGCATTGTTGTGGTCACTGTTTACAACTTCATATCTTCTAGAGCTCTAATAAGATGTCAACTTTGAATAAATTGTTTTGTTTTTCCTGCCTTAATCTACTGCGGATTGTGGCCAGTTGTGTACGGCTGTAACAGAATGCAGATATGATATGAATTGCATGGTTCAATAAACCATCTGAATAAAATCTTGCTTTGTGAGTAGTGTTTGCTGGAACTGTCTAACGTGACTGAGGACACAATAAACAATGATCTAGTCAGGGATTCCACACAGTCATTTGTTTAACTAAAATTCCAGTACGGGAAAGCTGTTTAGTAATGCTGAGTACATCTGTGCTGTATTTGTCAAATTTAAAGTGGAAAGATCTTAGCTGCTGCTAATTAATGAGCTTGGAGATCTAAACAAAAGCAAACGTGAGCCTCTTCATGAAAGCTCAAATGAGTCTTGTCCACTTGCTGCTCTTCAGCACCAAGATGTGTGGAAACATTTCAGCAATGACCTTACAACGAACCTTTACACATTAATCAAGGAAGGAGTAGAAGGATTTTTTCTAAATAATATAAAGTTTAGAATTTATAAAGATGGGTAAAAACGATTCACAAATGAAAAACATCGGAAACCCCAAGATTTTACCTAGAAGTGACTGATAAAAAGTTAAAAACAATCCACTTGACTTTGTTTCCAAGTTTGAAGACGTATCGCTTTCCATCCAGGATGCTTAAGTGACATCCCTGAAGGTTGGGGCTAAGGTTAAACATCAGGCAAAGCTCATCAGTTTCTATGGATATCAGATGGCGTTTTAAGTGATAAAACTCTTTACATTACTATCTGAAAAACATTGAAAAGTGGTGCCTTTTTTGAAAGAGAAATCTAATCCCTAAGAACATTGCAGTAGCACAGCATATAAATATATACCCCCCAAGTATGGAAGCAGAATGCTGATTATCTTTGCCTTGTTTATGCTGCATAGTCCAGACCTCAGTTTAAAGTGTAATAATGGGATCTTACGTCTCTATATTCCGTAAAATAACTTTAGAGTGATTGGTCATACATTTGTAGTTGGCCCTGTTACTGCATTGAAACATGTTCCAGTGGAAGGCCAAATAAGGGCTTACAGTGTTTACTTTTTTTTTTTTATGGAGTATGAAATGTCCTCTTTAGAAACACTTGCATCTACTTCAAATGTTTGCCACCAGAGGTGGTTCTTCAGGCTACCTAACCATGCGGTGACTAGAGAGCTACCTCCTCCGGACATGACTCTGCTGTCCACCTTCATCTTAAGGACAAAGGACACTCTTTTGAGGACCAAGATTTTCACATTTTGGACAAAGAAGACTGATGTGTTGAAAAGGATGTGAGGGAAGCCATTTACATTAAGAGAGAAAAAAACAACCATAAACAGGGGGGGAGGACTCAGGTTTCACCTTTCGTTGATTCCTTCCTGCTATCATCTCAATTCTCATCACCATACAGGTGGTCAAAACATTGCTCCTGTAAGCCAGGCCAATAACGACCCTAATGACCATTACCGAGGCATGGGCCAGTTTTGGTTTAATTTGCAGATCAAGAACAACCTCAATGTCTCCCCATTGCAAGGGGTGGACCTGTTTCAGTTCAATTTGCATGTTTTCTAGGCTAGAACAAGGCTTTTGTTGGGCTATTCTATAAGCCTAGAGCTCAACACTACTTCAGACGAAGCGAAACGTCTTCAAATTTGTACAAAAAATTTCAGTGGTTTTGTTTTTTCTTATTTTGGCAATGGGTGACTGTAGTTCTTCACACACATCTTACGGTAATTATTTTCCTAAAAACTGTGTGAGACATACTGTTCACACACTGGAGGAAAGTTTAGACTAAAAACCTTTGAACTGAAGAGTTATCTACTTCTTTTGTTCCACCAATCTACTGCCCAACCACAACAGAAGTTCAACCTTCAGACCAGCAGAGGGAGACTTTTTCTCAGAAATAATAGTTTGTAGTATTTTATGCTTTGTTTCATTTTGAGTAAAAAAAAAAATCATATTTGTACTTTTTTATAGGTTATGATTATAACCTTTTCTGTGATCATTGTATTGAATAAATAATCTCTTCATAGTAGTCTCCTTTTTCTAAAAGAATTAGACACATGGTTTTGATGTTTGTTGTTCTGTTAGTGCTGGGTTGAAAAACATTTTAATGAAGCACATACAAGAGGAATATGATTAAATTGACCTTTATGGGTGAGTCACTCCTGTGGAGGTTTTTTTAGTTTATGCACCAATTTTTGTTGGCTCGATGAAATCTTTTAAAATGAGCTTTTCTAATCACTTCTACCTAAAGAAAGGTTTTTTTCATCTGATGTCCTCCTACCTTCTTCACAAGTGTTATCCAAATATATGTATAAGAAACTCAATTTGAACAGTGTTTATCTTGTCGTGTTTAATGTCTGTTAAAAATGAAAAAGTGTGGCATGCATTTTTTATTTACCCCACCACATCTTTAGAATTTATTTGGTATGAGCAACACCCTTTCATTAGTCCTTCAACTATTAAGTATCGTCCATCTGTCTGTAATCTGACCTCAGCATGAATCCACCTGTTCTGTCTGACCTATTGAACATTGCTGCTTGAAGAACACAGCAGACA